ATTATAACCTTATAATATATTTACTGTATTTTGTTAATGTTCTCGAATAATTCTAGATCTAGCATTATATTTAAATAATTAGGTATTTATCGTCCGTTTATTCCAAAAAATCATCATGTAACCTTTTAGAAAATTAAATTTTACAACAGTATCGACTTCTAATCCACTTCAGTGTGACAACTTTTGACCTGTCTGTATGACAAACAATGTAAATCTCTTAATTCCATTTTAGTAAACTTTGTAATGGAAAATAACTGTTCAATAACTAATAGTCGTACAATCCATAATCAACCGGTGATATAATAAATAGGACTTTTGTTAATGTAATGGAATTTATGATTTGTTAGCTGTAACCTATTAGCTTTAGCTCGGTTAAAAATGCAATTAAAAAATTTTATAATAGTTCAACATGGAAAGAAAATAATTTCTATTCAAAGTTGAGCGGTAAGTGAAAGGTGTGTGTTGCGTGCACCAGATTTTTTTAAGTTTGAAAAAGTATTTAAAACCCACGGATTCAAGTCAATGACATTGTTTAAGATACTATTTCATTGTGTTTGTGTGAAAGAAGAAGTGAAATATAAAAATATTTCATGGATACGCTTAGAACCTAAAATAATTGTGGGTAAATGGTTGACTGTCGTGAATAATGAAGAGAAGAATAGTTAGGGTGATCAGTTAAATAAGAAGGCAAAAATAAATGATAATATTTATTTTGACATTTGCCAACGTTTCGACCTGAAGTTCAGACCATCATCAGGGCTGACTCCAAAGATGTAAATCGGAGCATTGCTATACCATTCATGGGTAAATATTCAATATCCTAACTCCTACAAGGAACTATGCATAATGTAAATTTACAGGTTTTCACAAACAATCCCAAATTCTAATTTTTTTGGTTTTTTTAGCATATTTATTGAGAGATATTACAATCTGTCACAATTAAGGACATTTATAATAGTGTTCAGAGCACATATTCACATTCTATCAACACATATTTTACACTATTTGAAGATTCTTATTTTTATTTATCCTATCATAGTTTTATCTCAATTTCATTTATTACTTTTTTTAACAAACATTTTTTTAGGCAGTTTACTTTTTTTATTATTATTATCTTATTATTGTTTTTGTCATTGTTATTATTTAAAAAAAAAATAAGTTAATGGATGTTCCCTTCGATCAAATCTTTAATTCTTTAACCCTATGGCTTTGTCTACAATGGAGAATTAACCTTCCCACTGCACCTAGCATTGTCCCTCGCACTGACTCCATGCCCCAAGCTTATTCCTTCAACCCTAGCCTAATGTGTGACCACAAAGGAGTACTGACCATGACCTCTCTTCAAACTTAATGGGGGAGATATTTCTCTGCCCATCCAATAGAGTTTCAAATGCCATGATAAACAGAACAATAGACTTTCAAACAAGATTAACAGAACAATAGGACTTTCAAACATCATGATAAACAAAAATTATCTTATGAAGATATTGTGCTGGAATCAAAGTCATCCACTTATTATTATCTCTACTGCAACAGAAAAAGGAAAATAGTTCATTTTTAGAATAAAAGTCATAATCAGTATAATGAATTCCACTTGATTTTAACTGTGTCTTTGAGATAATTTTTGGATAAAGAAGAATGAAAATCAATATATTTGGTATTGTCATTGATCTAATCAAACCTAACATTAAAAAATAAGAAGGATAAATTGTTGGTAAACACTGGCTGGAGAGTACGGGCATTTTGAAACGATGCCTTAAATAAAAAGGCTAAAGTAACAATTATACCTATAAATACAATAATACCTAAAAATAATATTAACATAAAAAATAATAATATGAATAAGAGAAATAAAAATCTCATAACTGATTATTTTAAAGTGTTGGACGGCGAGGAAAAAGCAAAGGATGAAAGGTTTCATTAGATCAATGACAATACCAAATATATTGATTTTCATTCTTCTGTATGTTTTGGTATCTTGGCCCGGAGGACTATGTTTTGGGATCTAAACCATCATTTTTGATATGATCTGGTGCAGAAAGATGATTGGGCTGGTGAAACAATTTAGTGGACTAATGGAATGCTACAGTGTTACCTTAGCGATGTTTTAGTCGTACCATATGAAGGGGGGGGGGTTAATAACAATTTAGGGTCATGAATCCTAAACAAATATAATACATAACACAAATTAAAAAATATGATCATTACGAACTCAAATTCGGACTATACAAGGACAACAAACTGGAAAGACACATATCCAATATGAAAGATAGAATCAATGCAATAGATAAAAAAGACGTGATATATAAAATTATTTGTAGACAATGCCCCAAACTTATATTGGTGGAACATTGCAAAATTTAAAAACCAGGATAAAAAAACATAAAACGAACGTAAAAAATCCTAAAAACATAAAATTCAACAATATAAAAATTTTAAAGACAGCACAAAACAATAAAATTAGAAAAAAATTAGCTAACTCAGTCAATTTTAAATCTGATGTTAAAAATATAGGCCAAAATTATGTCCACATATAAAATGAAATAAATTTTTAGTTAGATAAGGCAATGGAAAATAATCATCAACAGAGCTAGATCCCATTTAATCATTAGTTAATTCCTACCGAGACATAAATCCCTAAAGAGTTTATATGTACAGTCAATATTAAAAAGTAGACAGAGGAGGTAGTACCGTACTGGGTAAGCATACAGTTTAAATAAAACAGTAGTAATCAATAGTAGAAATGGTATAAGTTCTTAAATAATCGCATACATAAATTTTTATTATAGGGACATGCATCAATTAATACGCAAAAATTTAAGGGAGATGGTGATGAGGAATATAGTTATCTGTGACGGAGTACTACAAATAGTTGTTCATGTAATTATATATTGAAATAAATTATAGTATATAAAAAATGTTTTTGGTAAGTTCTCACTCGTTATATGACTAGATAATGAGTGACCAGAATTGTAAATTATCTTTGTTTAATTGTTATTTGTAGATGACTTGATAATGAGCTCGAAACGTCGTTGGAAGTAAAATAAAGAAATTTTTTTGAAAGTATAAGGACTTATATATTCGTTGAAGACGACATAAATAAGAACATTGAGTGCCCTTCAAAAGTACTACTGTAGTAGCTAAATATACTTGGCAAATATATTTAACACGTTAGCTGCAGTTACGGTCCCCAGCGTAACATTGTATCTTATATAATGATTATTTACGTTTACATCTATCCAATTCTCATTCAAATATTTTTAAAAACAACCAATTTTGTAAGATAAGCAAAATTCGAAACAATCCTTAAATCGAGCTGAATATCAGAAACAGGGAACCGTAGCCGCAGCTGACATGTTAAGGTTACATTTCCATGAAATATTTTTATATTTATCTTTTTCTTTCACACAACTACAATGAAATAGTATTTTAAACAATGTCATTACCTTGATTCAGTGGATTTTAAATAACTTTTTTCAAACTTAAAAAAAATTTTAAACGTTGACATTTAGTAAGAAAATTCCATTTAATTCCCTTGGAAACATGTGATTTACATTAAATAGTATTATTTTTCAGAAATTTTTATTTATATTTTTTTGTCACTCTCCGTTACCTCCTACCACTTTATTTATTAGATATTATTTTTTCTAATATTATCTGCTTTCCAACTATATATTATATGTATAAATTCTGACTATTATTTCCGGAGATTCATTTTCGACCTGGATAAGCATTTTTATCCTTTATTTAAATATCAAATTCTTTCAAAAGTTATATTTAGCCTTTTGTCATAACTCTTAACAATTAGAGATAGTTAATTATTTACAATAAACCAAATTAAAGGCACTTTAGAGGAAGACATTTTGAACATTTAAGCCCTTTTAAGCGACATCAATAGGGATAAGACCTAAATGATATTAAAGATTAATTAATTATACATTGATACACCGAGTTTAATAAAAAAGAGCCGTTTTTGAGAAAATCATAAAAATGTGTAAAATCGATGATATAAAGTGGCACTTCCGGTTAGCTGATTTTAACGAAAAAGTTGCTGTTACATTGGAACCATATACGAACCTATACAATTTAAGTCTCATACGACTTCTAGTTTTTGAGCTAGAGTGTTCACACACAGAGACCATTTTGCAGGACTTGGTTATTTCCACTCAGAGGAGCTCAAAACACGTATTTCCGTTGAAAACTGAGATTCCAAAATTTTCATGATCGCAATACTTTCCCTCACTATATATTCCATATATGGGTAAGTGAAAGTAATAAATAAAAGGTTTATATAAGTTTATTGTAACTAGTTTTGCTGAAAACACTGATTCTTTTTGGAGAAAGAATGTCACACCACATAGCATTTTTATGAAATTGGAGTTGAATCGTAGTTAATTGTTTGCCAAACCACAACCTAGTTCATATGGACTTGAAGCTTATAAACAAGGAAGGTTTTCTAAAGGTGATGTATCTGTAGTTCAGTAGAAGGTAGATTTAAAAAAAAAAAATTCTTAGCCTAGGTTAGCTGTTTAAAATGGTTTAAAAAAAAACAAATTCTGCTTCTATTAGAAATAAATTCTGTCTAAGCTATTATGCTTGAATTGATTATTACTTAAATTAAATATGTATAACAGGTATACTACATATTATCATATACATATTATTGTGCATATTGTTTCTATTTTTCTATATATTTAAATATATTTTCAGTTATTGCTTCCAATTCAACAAAACATATGACTGTCTAGAAAAACATAATACTTAATTTTTTTACTTTTTTGCATTGAATATCAAACCATGGTTTGTATGCACTTTTTGTTGTTCTAGAAGTTTATTATCACCTCTCTAAATATTTCTCATCAATTAATCATTTACGGGACACCCTGTATATGATACAATTTTTTTCATACAAATATGCTTACACATAATATATATTGTTAACAAATTTATAAATCACACAAATGTTGCTATATAAAATATTGGTTTCAATATTTACATACCTAAAGATTTTTGGAGCCAACTGCAGAAACTTTTCAGTATTTTCACAAAAAGGATCTCCTTGACCAATACGCGATTTTTGAGATTCCATAATATGATTGCAAGGAATCAGATATTTGAAGACCAATTCAAGCATAACATCCTCACAATTTAATTCAATTAATGTTTGCATAAAGGACAACGTGACTAAACATAACTGAACAAAAAAAGATAATATAGTTCATAGATCACTTAAGCATTATTTATATATAACTAAATTAACATATTTTTACAATTAAAAAAAATTCAAATTGAATATATTTTATTATGGTATAAATGGAAAAATCCAAAAACAATATAAAAAATAGCTTTATGCTTATTTTAGTAATATTTTATTATTATACTTAGTTCTAGGTTCACTAGACTACAGTAAGTAAGGATAAAAAATACACATAAATCACAGTGCCTAACGATTTTGATAATTGGAATTTCCAACGTATCAGAAATATGCCACAATAAATCAATTTAATATCTATGAACACAGGGAATAACTTTATGAGTTATGTGTATAGTGGTCATCTCAGAGACCTGTGAATAACTAGTCTAGACGAGAACAGTGAAGTTACTAAGTTCTTCACTTTACTACTGAGGTACTTACTTAAAAATGACCTGAAATTGGTGGCTGGGCCCAAGCTCACATGATCACAAATATATGGAATTCTGAAAATGTATGCGTGTAGCAGAATGAATATAAAAATGTGTTTGTAGGTATTTAGATGGAGCTGTCAAAGAATGAAAATGACTAAAAAAGGTACATCTTGTTACACAGACAACTTAATGTAATAGTTGAATATTTGATCCACTGCATTTTACATATGGATAATTTAAATCATTATTTCTGTAATTAGATTAAGACTATTGAACTTCTGCTTGCTGAGCTTGCTCAAGAAATATTCAAACCCCCAACATGTCCATTCAGTTGAGGTTGGACTTTGCCAGAAGTCTATTTTTAATGACCAATTTTTAATTCATAGCTTTGTAAATATTGTTATTCATAGTAATTGTGCTCAATAATCTGAAAAACAATAGCTTAATATAATGTGAGTTCCTCAGATTTCATCATTATATGTCCCTTAAAACCTGCCAGTTTCTAGTCTGGGAAAAGAGTAAATGTAACAATTGTGGCGATAGAACTTACCCAATGAACGAGTGAGGGAACACTACCAAATGCTTTCATTGTAAACTTTAGCCTGTATTGTAAAGTCTGTCCAGAAAAGAAGCGACAAAAAAAAATTGAAGAAGTAATGGGAACACAGCTTATTAGTTACAAAGAAACCACTAAGTTCGTACAGCCAAGTCACATTCAATATGTTATCCTCCTGGATTTCTCATAACTACCACAAGAAGAAAAAAAAAATCTCTAAGGCGATAATAACATCAATCACACCCGATCTTTAGGAAATTTTCGTCCTGAAAAATTCAGGGGTTTGTCAACTAAAAGACTACAATTGAATTTTCTTCTAATAAGTTCTGAAACTTACCTGCACTTTCCAGTTCCGAAATAATTAATCCAATCTATATCTATACCCAATAACATTCCACTCCCAACAGTTTCAATTACAGTAATCCTCACACAAAAGCTTAACATATTCAAAATAAATATATAAATACTTTAATAATGAAAATAATGGAAATAAAGAACTCAACCAATATAAAAGTTTCTTCTGGTTAGTCTATTATGGTGAAAATGTTGCTGTAACATCTCAGGCATCTACCTTAATATGTAATTTCAATTTCACATGACTTTTCATTTTTGAGATAGGCTGTTCACATACACACGCACACAGACATCCACCAAAACTTGTTTATTAGGACCTCAAAATGTGTATTTCAAATGAAAACTGAGATTCGAAATTTTTCACAGTCACAGTGCTTTACGTAACTTCATAATATATATATATATATATATATATATATATATATATATATATATATATATATATGCAAGCGAAAAAGGGGAGAGGGGGTAGGAAGTAGCCGAGCATAATATGATAACCTGAAGATTACAAGTTTGAGTCTCAGTGGTGGGAGAATTTAATTCTGGCATTAATCCCTGCTCTCTCCACTGGCCCAGAAAAAAACCTGTACAGCCAAAACTTGAGATGGGGGAAAAAAAGAAGAAAAATAAATGTAAGCAAAAATAAAAACTACAGCAGATAACATAGGATGTAAAAGCATTTGCTGTATTATTAACAATAATTAATAAAATGATCACAAAATAGGATTGTTTTTTAAAGTAAAAAAATAAATAAATAAAACAATCAACAACTTACAAGTCTCAAATTTGTTTTATTTCCGTAAACTTTACCTCTTATGTCGGACCTTTACAAAACTTTAACTCCATTATTGAAAAAAATAAATAATAAGCAACAGCTGTTTAATCATAGGAAATGATTTTAACATCAAGTCCAAATGTTATGGTAGCTTAAGCTTCTTCCCAAGAAGCAATATAATAATAGAACAACAGCCGATCATATTACTACATGAATCCGACAAATCTATATGCCTTGGGAATTCAGGAAAAAAATTATCCATCATTTTTTAACCTTTTTAAGTCTGGATCTAACACATAGGCTATAATGGTCAACAACGGATTAAATCCTAAGCAGTGATGACTTAATAAAGAAATGGAATTAAAAATAATTTTATTCTGGGACTAAAGTCACCTAAAAATAATTACATAGATCAAAAATTATGTACATTAGTCTGGCATGAATAATAATAATACAAAATAAAAATGGCACTTGTCAATTAACTGTTGAAAAGTAATTGTAATTACAGAATCTAATTTTTTTACTATTATTTTCAAACGTAGAAGATTTTTATTTTATTTTAAACATCATTTTTTTCTATTCTATTATTTTCTGTATTTTACAATATAATGTTTAAAAATGTACACTCACTTCTAATCTTAACTTTGTTCTGTCCCATCATACTGCATATCCTTTATTTAATTCCTTAATGATTAATACCTTAATCTCCTGCCACATTAACTCTCAATCCCTTTCTGCACATTATAGCGAATTCCTAGATTATTTTCACCACCGTTTCTACCATATTATTGCCATATCCGAAACTTGGCTCAAACATGATATCCCCTCCTGTTTCCTTACCCGACTATACCCTCTTTCGTCATGATTGGGCGGATCAATCCGGAGGAGGTGTCGGTTTGTTTGTTCATAATAGTTTGAGGGCCAAAATCCTTTTAAAATCACCTTCTTCCGATATCCCACACATTGAATATCTATTTGTCAAAGTTTCCTCTAGAACCTTCTTCCTAGTCTATATCGTTATTTACCTTACCTCATCACTGAAACCTCCTTTGACCCAGATAAGTTTTCTTTTCTTGACATCTCTCCAACTGACCTACTCTCTCCTATCCTTAAATCCAAAACCAACGACAATGGTCCTGACCAAATTCCTATGAAAATCATTAAACTATGGCTACCAAACTTACTTCCTATACTCCTACACATCTAAAATTTTTCCCTCCAAAATTCAATTTTTCCTAAAGCCTGGAAAAAGTCAGTCCAGCCGTTGAACAAAGTTCCTGCTTCTTCACTAGCATCCGACTTCCATTTTATTCAAGCCTCTAGAAAGATTAGTTCACTCTCAGTTGAACAACTTTCTTGAGCAAAACTGTCTCCTCAATCCTCTACAATCTGGTTTTTGTTCCCAATACTCCACCCAATCTGCCTTATTAAAGATTACCCAAGACCTCCAATCATCCATAGACAAACAGAAAATCTCCATCCTAGTCCTTTTCGACTTCTCAAAAGCCTTCGACTCTCGTCAATCATAATATCCTCATTTCCAAACTCCAAAGCCTGCCCATATCGAATAGCGTTCTGAAATGGTTCCTCTCCTTTTTATCCCATCGCTCCCAGACAGTTGTTATTCCTGACAAATCTCCTTCCTCATCTCTTCAATTATCACGAGGTGTTCCTCAGGGCTCCTCACTCTCTCCAACTCTGTTCTCCATTTATATTAGCGACCTTCCTGACTCCATTCGTCACTCCCACTATCACTTATATGCAGACGATCTACAAATTTACTTATCGTTCCAACCATCTGAGATGCCGAGGCTACCCGAAAACTACAAGAGATATTGACTGTATCCACAGGTGGGCAGAAAAAAATTAACTAACGCAGACAAAACTAAGGCAATCTTCATCAGCTCCAAGCACCTCATTAGTTCCCATTCTTTCCGACAGTCAGAAACCTCGGAGTGATCTTTGATCAGAACCTCTCTTAGAACAACCACATTTCCCAGTAAATCCATAACTATCCTTTGATTCCATTCCAAAAAAAAACCAGACAGCTCCTTGTAATATCCCTTGTTTTTCCCCAATTCGACTATGGTTGTCTGGTGTATGGGAGGGCTGTCCACAGAACTGGAGGAGAGACTGAAGAAAATTATGAATTGCAAGTCCTCAGAACCAAAAACCCTCCCTACCACCTTAGAACTCCTTACTGTATAACACTATCCTTTCTCTCAACACCAGATCTCAAACTATAGATTTATATATCCCTCCCATAAAAACACTTCCTTCAGTAAATCCTTCATCATTCGTGTTACCTCCTTATGGAACTCCTTACCCATCTCCCTACGTCAAACCACGTCCATAAACTCCTTCAAACAACTCCTATTCCACCACCTACTACAAATTCAAACTTCCGCAAGCTTGTAAAAATTTCTGGGTTATATAATTACGTTGGTCACCAGCAGTTAATTGATAGAAGTCATTTTATTTTTATTTATTAATTTTTTTATATCTCAGTATTTTATTGTATATATCTGTGTTTATCGTTAGTATGTTTTGTAGATATTTATATTTTCCTTGTATTTTTTTTATATATTTGTATTTTCCTTAGTATCTTTGTGTGTATATATATATGTGTTTACAATTTCATAAGTATTTTTTGTATATATTTGTGTGATACTTACATGCCAGACTAATGTACATATTTTTAAACTCTACTATTATTCTAAGGGGACTTCAGTCCCACAATAAAATTATTTTTCATTTCATTTCATTTCCACGTCTACAGCTGGTATGCAGAGTTGAAGTGGTTCTATTCAGTTTTCTGATGGCAATATTTCCTATTTGTTTCCCTTTTCTCTTTACAACCAAAAAACCCTCTTACCTTCTTGAT